CAGGTAGATTAAGTATAGCTATTATTAGGGAATGTAAATTTCTTAGTATAGTTTAATCTCAATAAAAAGTAGCAGGACAGCCAAATTAAAAAAAAAATATTAATATAATTAAAAATTTTTAATAATATATTAAAATATTGATCAAATTGGTCAAATTGGTCTATTTATCAACTCTGTATATATTGCTAATAGTTAATCTAATAAATGATAAAATCGAAAGCTCAAAGTCTTTTTTTCTTTAGCAACGCCCATATATATAATTTTTTTCTTCAGCAATGCTTGTATATATATATATAATTTTTTTAAAAAAAATTTTTTTGTTAATTGACTTATAGTTAAAAAATATTTTATAATCAGTGGAAAAAGTATCTACTATAAAAAGAAATGCACAAGATATTGGTGGGCAAATACTCCAGGATTAGTAGATCATCATACTATTCTACTCTCAGATATACTGGATTAGATACTATTCAGATTATATCTTAACTATAATGCCATCACATCTGATAGTGATAGTAATACCTCTAATCCAAATAATTCAGATGACTACATTAACCCAGATGATTACACTAACCCAGATAACTACACTAACTCAGATGACCATACTAACCCAGATGATCCCACTAACTCATATGATCCTGCTAACCCAGATGACCTCACTAACCTGAATGACCCTGCTAATCCAGATGCCACTGCTAATTTGGATGCTACTGCTAACCTGGATGTCACTGCTAACCCGAATGCCACTGCTAACCTGGATGCTACTGCTAACCCAAATACTACTGCTAACCCAGATGCTACTGCTAACCCGGATGCCACTACTAACCTGGCTGTCTCTGCTAACCCGGCTACCCCTGCTAACCAGAATGATTCTGCTAATCAAGATACACCTGCTAACCAGGATGACCTCACTAACCAGGATGATCTGCTAACCAGGATGTTCCTGCTAACTAGGATGCCTCTGCTAACCAGGATAACTTCGCTAACCAGGATGCCTCTGCTAACCAGGATGCCCCCGATAATGATAATCTGGATAACCCCAATAATGACAATCTGGATAATCCTGATAGTGATAATCCGGATAACCCCGATAGTCATAATCCAGAGGATATCTCTGATGATGACTATGAAGCTATCACTAGACCCAGTAAACTCCAGTATAGTGTATACAATATATATTCACAATCAAAAAACTTTTCAGGCAGTACAGATAAAGATAGTAATACTGTTTGTTTAATTATATCTAAATAAAACTAATTCTAGTTTTTGAATTTGACAAAAAGCATGTCAATTGGCTGTCTTTAATAAATTTAATAATATTAAAGGTATGCCAAAAAAGGTTGTTGATGAAAAAAGTAAATCAAAAGAGGTTGTTGATAAAAAAGATAAATCAAAAGAGGTTGTTGATGAAAAAAGTAAATCAAAAGAGGTTATTAATGAAAAAGGTAAATCAAAAGAGGTTGTTGATTAAAAAGATAATTCAAAAGATGTTGTTAATGAAAAAGATAATTCAAAGAAAGTAGGTATGTGTATCG